GCGTTGTACTGCTTCAAACTAATGCTTCTCGGGGCCCTTCTCGGGTGCGACGCGCCATGGCGATTCGCGCAATGCGTCGCAAATCCGGCAACCGCATGTAAACTAAATTTATTGAGGTTAGTTGTAAGGTTTTTTCTCCGTTTTTCTCTCTAAAACAAAACAAGGTGAAGAGTAAAAACTGAGGGGAAGCTATTTTTGAGGTTTCGAAGAAACAGTAAAACGTATGAGATGTTTTTTTTTTCAAAATTAAAAAGAAGGATGATGGTGATTGAAATTAGCATAATTTCGCATTGCACGAGCTGCACGCATTTATAAGATACACGTCATCTAGTTTATGAAACACGATCTGCTGTCTTTTAGTTTTGCCATGGATGACATGGATGAGATTTTCCTTCGTGTTTTAGACAGTACTTAGTTGTTTTTGTTTTGGAATAACATCGACATTGGCGAGTAGTAGAATGAAAATATAATTCAGTGGTAGAGTCATGGAAGTAATAAGAGAAACCCTTTGAAAGAGATGTTTGTCTACTCCAACTAAACCTCCCGCAAAAAATAGCAACATTTGCCTCTCGGAGACAGCGTACCAGCACAAAGGAACGAGGAAGAAGTGCAAGATAACAAAACAAGCCGCCATAATTCAGTGACAGCGGCGGTGTGTAATGGACATATCCCACAGGTGAACTCTAGTTTCCATATCTCAAACCGCCCTTGGATACCCAAACCACATCGCAAGCCCTGACCGAAGTCGAAAACAAGCGACATTTCTATGCAGAGTCCCAGTCCACTGCATCACACCTTCTTGGTCGGACGCTCTCGTTTCACCGCCCAACCTTTAACTACCCTGATTGGTGCGTTTCGATTCGTCTATTGCCACAGTTAAACAGTCGTCTATTGTTAGTCAAATTGTCAGTTCTCCAGTCGTTCTGTCGTAGTTAGTTTTGCTTGATCTCGTCAATAAGTCGTTTGTACGTCGCTGGTAACTGTTGGCTACGATTCAGTGGCGTTTGTTCTAAGTTAGTAAACCAGCTTTCTAAATTAAGACGTTGATAGTAGTCTGTAGAATACGTTATACATGTCGCAGAGTCCCAGTCAATTCGATTTTTCGTCTGTAAATGGTGCTCAGCAATGTGATTGTTGACGTCACCATTCCTCGTCGCTCGTTTGTGTTCGGTCAGTCGCGTGCTTAGGTTTCTGCCGGTTTCACCAATGTAAGAAGCCTGGCAGTCGCAGCATCTGACCGTGTATACTGCTCCCTGTCTGTCCTCCGGTTTGTCTTTGTCCTTGACATTAGTAAGCAGTCGCCGTAAAATGGTTATCGGTTTGTGTGCAACACGTATATTGTAAGGTTGTAATTATAATATACGTGCAATAGTTTCAGAGGTGCCTCTGATATACGGTATAGTCGCTATCGTAACAGGGCCAGAGTTGGTCTGAGTGTTGGAATCAGTGTTACTGTGAGTGTTCCCTCTAACAATGTCCGTGTTGTAATTGTTCTTAATAAAAACGTTGTTAAGATAATCAGTCAAGTCTTGTAGGCTGTCAGGTGAGTTGCAAACTAGTTGCGCTCGTCTCGTCAAAGTCCGGATAGTAGTAGCCTTGTGAGAGGTCGGGTTGTTCGAAGACTTGGCTAGTAATCGGTAGGTATGTGTCGGTTTTCTGTAAATGGTCGTTTTTAGTTTGTTTTTGTCGCGAATGACCAAGAAGTCTGGAAAAGGTATCTTACCATTTTCTTCGATCTCCTTGGTGAACTGTATGTCCGCGTTCTGTCTGTTAAGGTGTTCGTGGAAATCATCGATTCCCGTCTTTGTGTACGGCGGTGAATGTGTCGTCAACGCCAGTAACGTAACCAAAGAGGTACAGTTTGCGTGTAGGTAGCTAGGGCTTTTTCCTCGATGTTTTGCATGACAATTCCTGCTACAACAACAGAAAATGGAGACGCCCATAGCTGTACCGTGTAACTGTTTGTAGTGTTTGCCGTTGTACTGAAAATACGTCGAAGTCAAACAGAGGTTGAGTAGGTCCATAATGTCGTCTGTAGGTAGTGGTAGTTCAACAGAAGAGTTCTTAATAGCGTGCTCAGTACAGTCTAGAGCCAGTTGAAGTTTTTTAGGTCGTTGGTTTTAGTCTGCATTGCAACTTCACCCAAGCCTTTAACATTGCTTGTGTCTTGCCATCTTATTCATTTACCTTAATCTTGTCCGATCCAGCCCGTGCGCCGCTGGGGAGATAAGAAAGGTTCTGCCAATACTCTTGTCCAACCCCACAGTAGTGAGGCAATAAGTGAGGCTTGTGTTCTTGTTTTGCACATAATGTAAGGTCACTATAACCTGTCAGAGGGCTGTTTCCCCCTCCCCCCTTATTATGCCATTTGTAGTTATTGTCTTATTTAGCCTGTGTTTGTTATTTTGTTGCGTGACTTTTTTATGGGTATCTTAAGGGATATAGTGATCGACATTAAGAATGACAAGACCCAGGTACTGCCCTCGGGGCAATGCCTGTATAAATACGACATTAGGGCCATTTATACGAGGAAAAATAAGACGCGTCTTACATAGGACGCGTCTTAAATAAGACTCGAACTTTCCGTATAAACGGCACATTTCGTCTAAAATAGGACGCGGCTTAGCTAAGACGAGAAAAACGTCGTATAAATGACATTCGCGTCTTACATAAGACGCGAACGCATAATACGAACTCGTCAACCTTTGGCGCGCCACGTTGGATTGCCGTTGCTACGGGCAACATTCACATGAAAACTAGTCAAGAACAGAACTAAGACGCGAACCGTTTATACGAGCTGTTCTCGTCTTAGATAGCATATGCTCGTATAAATGTAGCCTGCGTGCAGGCTAGTATAAATGGTACAGTTCGTGTCTTATTTAGGACGCGTCTTACTTTTACTCGTATAAATGGCCCTATTGTCCTAAACGGTAAAAGTAGGGACCCAAGAGTCCATGAAAATTCTTGGGGTTACACTTGATAAATGTTAACCTTTAAGGATCATATATGAGGGCAACTTAAGAAGGCATATGCCAAATCTTCAGCGCAAAGACACCTTAGGCGTTTTGTTCCAGCTGAGGTTATGATAGTCTCCTTCGCAGCCGTTTTTAGGCTCGTCACACAATGCTCCGCCTAAAAAGGCTAAAAATGGCTGCAAAGGAGATTAAGGTTATGATAAGTCTCTACAATTCCTTTGTTTTACCGCACTTAGAATACTGCAGTCCCCTCTAATTGAGTGTGGGCAAAGTGCAACCAAGTCGTCTTGAGGACGTTAACTTTTTACATTTTGAGATCTAATTTAGGTTACGGTAAAACTATCTCATATCAAGAATTACTTGGGATTGTGAACATGGAAACTCGCCCTAGAACATAAAAGACTATGCAGTTCGCTTTTGTTACTTTATAAATATGTTCTGCAACGGACCTCTAAGTACATTCATGACTTTTTGCTTTTAAAGACTCAACACATAACTTAAGAGGTAGTGGTGTTAATCTTAGCATGCCAAGGTTTAACCTTAAGTGGATGAAGATGAACTCTTTCACTTACAAAGCCGCTAAAATCTGGAACTCACTTGAACCCGATGTAAGGAAAGGAAACCTTTCCACGTTTGCGAAGTTGATTGAGAATAAATCATTTCAATTCCATTTTTAATCTTGTATATTAGAACCAGCTTTTAAATCCATTCTTATTCAAAGTAAGAATGCAGTTGTACATTTTAGGTTTAATTTTTACAATAAAACTAGTTGTTATATAAACATATATATATATATATATATATATATATATATATATATATATATATGTAATAAACAAATCCAGGTAATTCACCGTTGGATCCAGAACAGTGCTCAACAATTAAGGAGCGATTTAACAGTAAATAGACTACTCAATATGAGCACATACGGGTTCATCCGTAATCTATTTACTGTTTACTGTTATATATATATATATATAAGATATTTTTTAATACCTATAATTTAAGGCTATTTTTGTTAGCACGAATGTATTTTAAACAAGCTTTTTAGCTCACTCGACGCTCGTGGGTAAATAAACGATTGATTAATTGATTGATTTCGCTAGTGGAGATAGGGTCTTGGTTAATGCCAGCTGGTTGCGAAGAGTTGGCCAGAGAACTTTAGCCAACCAGAAACAGAGAAATATTTTGAGTAAATAACTATGACTAATGTTCTCTTGCCAAGATGTTTAATTTACAGTCGGCTCCCGATAACTTGAACCTTCAAGGGAAATCGAAAAAAGGTTCGAGTTAACGGGATCGCGAAGAAAATAGCCGAGAGTAAGTTAAAAAACAGTTTTTACTGCACAGTGAACATTTTAACCACATTTAATTGTAGAAATGTCAGGTGAAAATTAAAAGATACTTCTAGATTATAAATCAGAACGTAACGTAACAAAACATATCCTAAACAGAGCATGCGTTTTACTGTTTTGAGAAGAAAAGCTGCTTCACGTTAGCCCGTGACAATCAACATCAGTCTCCATTAGTAAACTATAACGCCTACAACACGTTAATAGGAAATCCAAAATTCAATGTTTCGGACGCCAGTAGACGGCTTTTTTCCCGACTTTTTAAGGGCTCAAAGCATGGTTCGAGTTATCGAGGGTAAAATTATATAGAAAATGACCTGAGGGGAAACAAAAATTGGTTCGAGTTAGCGGGAGTTCGAGTTATCGAGGGTTCGAGTTACCGAGGGTAAAATTACAGTGAATTTATGACGGAAATCCAGGGGAAATCGATTTTGGTTCGAGTTAGCGCGAGGTTCGAGTTATCGGGAGTCGACTGGATATCCACTTTCTGTACCTTGTCAGGGGTGATCAATAACTATAACACTGATTTATTTGCTAATTACTATTTTTATTATTCTCATTTTAGATTACAAAGAAAGGACAAGGCTACCTTTATTTAATAATTTGAAACATGGAGGATCATTCCATTGCAGAATTAAAAGCTTATTTTAAAGATGGAAGTGGAGTAGCAAATTTGGATCTAAGTAGAAAAGGACTCTCCAGGTTACCTGATGCAGTCACTGAACTGACTGAAGTGGAGGAACTTTGGCTGGATTACAATAACCTGGCTGAATTACCAACAGGTATTAACAAGTTGAAAAACCTTATCGAGCTCCATTTGAATAGAAACAGACTCACAGACCTACCTGCTGAGATTGGTGACTTAAAGGAGCTGAGAAGGCTGGAGGTGCGATACAACCAGTTGGTTAGTTTACCTACCAGTATACTGAAGCTGAACCAGCTTGAGGGGCTGTACTTGTCTTATAACAAACTTAAAGAACTGCCTTTTGAGATTGGTGACTTAATGGCCCTGAGGAGGCTGGAGGTGGGATACAACGAGTTGGTTAGTTTACCTACCAGTATACAGAGGCTGAACCAGCTTGAGGAGCTGCACTTGATTTATAACAAACTTACAGAACTGCCCTCTGAGATTGGTGACTTAATGGCGCTGAGGAGGCTGGATGTGAGTTGCAACCAGTTGGTTAGTTTACCTACTAGTATACAGAAGCTGAACCAGCTTGAGGAGCTGCACTTGAATGGTAACAAACTTACAGAACTGCCTTCTGAGATTGGTGACTTAATGGCCCTGAGGAGGCTGGATGTGAGTAACAACCGGTTCGTTAGTTTACCTACCAGTATACAGAAGCTGAACCAGCTTGAAGAGCTGCGCTTGATTTATGACGAACTTACAGAACTGCCCTCTGAGATTGGTGACTTTACGGCGCTGAGGAGGCTGTATGTGAGTTGCAACCGGTTGGTTAGTTTACCTACCAGTATACAGAAGCTAAACCAGCTTGAGGAGCTGCACTTGGATGGCAACAAACTTACAGAACTGCCCTCTAAGATTGGTGACTTAAAGGAGCTGAGGAGGCTAGATGTGAGGAACAACCAGTTGGTTAGTTTACCTGCCAGTATACAGAAGCTGAACCTGCTTGAGGAGCTGAAATTGTTCGGTAACAAACTTACAGAACTGCCTCCTATGATTGGTGACTTAATGGCGCTGAGGAGGCTGGATGTGAGTAACAACCAGTTGGTTAGTTTACCTACCAGTATACAGAAGCTGAACCAGCTTGAGGACCTGCGCTTGGATGGTAACAAACTCACAGAACTGCCTTCTGAAGTTGGTGACTTAAAGGAGCTGAGGAGTTTGCAAGTGAGTAGCAACCAATTGGTTAGTTTACCTATCAGTATACAGAAGCTGAACCAGCTTGAGGAGCTGCACTTGTCTCATAACAAACTTACAGAACTGCCTTCTGAGATTGGTGACTTAATGGCGCTGAGGAGGCTGGATGTGAGTGGTAATCCTTTACCTTCTGATGCAATACATTTTCTAGAGAAGAAGATAAAAGTAATGACCAGTACGTTTATTAAAGGTGGGTGTGGGGATTGTCGTCAATAATTGTTAGAATGATACTTTTACTATAGATGTATATATAGATGTAAGATATATTAGTAGTGCCATTATTTTTTGTCTTTGTTTTTAATAAGGCTCGAGCAAGATTGGAAATGGCGAAAAAAAAAACTTTACTTTATACTGAAAATTCTCACTGCGCTGAGGATTAGTGGGGAAAAAGTTTGACCGAAATCTAATTTTTTGGGACACTCCAAATTAGTGTTATTTAGTAAATATTTAAAACAGATACATTTGGTTAGAATTCTTTTTACTTCATAAGAAAATGTCATTCTTTCTCTCAACAAAATCTTTGTCAGTTCAGTCTACTGCCCTTAAAGGAACTTACAAGGGCTTCAGCATTATTTTCCCGAAAATTTTAGTTGCAATTTAAAGTTTTACGGAGGTAAGAATTTGTCTAATTTTAGGTTTCCTTCTTCTACGAAAATATCTTAACCTGGGGAGTGAAATGCGCAAAATTAAACTCAAGAAAATCGTAGTGAAATATTTATATAGCTAAGCCGCTTCGAAAATTGTAAATGAATGGAGTGATCATCTAGAAATTTTTAGCCTTCTCTTCCTTAGGCTGGAAAATTTTAGGCAATTCTCTTTTCCAAACAGATATTTTACAGAAGACAGTCATTGGATGCGCCTGAGGAGGATTTTAGGGGGATAACAGCCTCCGAGATTTGCTTAATTCTCATTTACCATCATATGAAAACCGTTTCTAATTATGGGCTGACGTAACGAATTAGGATTACTGCTTCACGTGAGCAAATGCAAGTTGAGTTATTTTAAATGTAGCAACTGCTTGTTTGGCACCCAGTTCGCAAGGGGGAGGTAGGTACACCGGATTTCAAGTGACGGGATGATCGAATGGAGACAAAAATCAGCCCACCCCTCCACCCCGCAAAAAAAAAATCCTAGGGTTTCCAACGAAACCCCAAACCATCGCTGCACAAAAATTAACCTCCTCCCCCCCCAAAAAAAACATGCCAAATATCAGAGCCTTCTCGCTAACAACACTCGAGACACCCAGGATCATCTTCTGTTTCATTGAATATGTAAAAAGTCCCCGCGTAATCAAAATTTTTCTAACCAAAAAATCCCGGAGAAAAAATTTCAAACCCAAAAAATTCTTCGATCACCCTCGTCACTTGAAATCCGGAGTACCCTCACCCCCTGTTATTTCCAACAAAACCCCAAAACATCCCTGCACAAAAATTAACCCCCTCCCCCCTCAAAAAAAACATGCCAAATATCAGAGCCTTCTCGCTAACAACACTCGAGACACCCTGGATCATCTTCTGTTTCACTGAATACGTAAAAAGTCCCCGCGTAATCAAAATTGTTCTAACCAAAAAATCCCGGAAAAAAAATTCAAACCCAAAAAATTCTTCGATCACCCTCGTCACTTGAAATCCGGACTACCCTCACCCCCTGTTATTTAAAAAGTCGTTAGTGGGGAAAAGTCTTTGTCGATGTCCAGTGAAGTTTTTCAAAGCTTCCATTTATTTCACTTGCTAGCGTTTAAAATCTTTTAAGGTATGGATAGCGAAAAACCAAAAGCGACCCAATCAAGTAAAATTTGAACGTGATATGCGAACGTTCTGTTTCATTTCTCAGAGGCTGTCCACACTGCCCGCCGGGAATTAGTGCCTCGGTACCGGCCCAAAGTGGTGTCGCGGCGTTCACACCGTAAGAACCCGATATGCAAGTGACGACGTAGCTACTCCATTTCTCCCTGTCAGACGCTATTTTCAAAAAATAAATATGAGCTTTGCAATGATTACAAAGCCGTGGACTGTCACAGAACAAGTAACTGTGTGCATACAGGGACCCGGTGTCCACTTTTGTGCCCGAGTACAAGTTCTCGACCTTGTTCTCTGGCACCGGCACCGTGCTCGAATTCTAACGTGGGAATACTTGAAAAAAGAGTATGTTTATACTTTAGTGCTCGGCGAGTAGCGTACTTGGCCACCGTGTCCGGGCACCAGGTGTGAAGGCTGCCTTACTTTTCCGCGTGCAACAAAGGAAATAGGACACGTCTGCCAGCACGCAGGCTATTTGTTCCATTGATGTCGAATTCCGCTTTTAATAAAACAGAATAGTTTTTTTTGTCGGCATAAAAAGCTTTCTTGTATACTGTATCCGTAGATATACAGACAGGACGTAGACGTAGTTTTATCTTATTATTGCTTCTTATGTTCCGCAAGGAGGAATGAGTATGCCTTGGTTCGAACAAACTGCTGAAACTGGAATGTTTTGGAATGCTGGCGAAGAGGAAGAAGTGGTCAAGACAGTGTTACCTGTGAAAGCCGCTAAAGAAAAGGTTGTAGTAGAACCTGAAGATGATGCTGAACTTGAAGACGATGCTAATGTCCCTCTCTGGAGAGCGATGTTCAAAAAGTTGCGTTTTAGTGAGTGTTTAATTCTTATATGAGTTATGTCAGGGCCGTTGCTAGGTTTTTGTAACCGGGGGAGGGGGCATTATCGCGGGTGCTAAAAACAAGAGCCTTGAAAGGGGGTGTGGGGGTATCCTCCCTTAGAAAATTTTTAAATTTAGAGGCTCTGAAACGTTATTTTCAGCACTTGTCACGAGATATGTTTCCGAAAAATCGACCTCGAATCATGAAAATGGCAAGCAATTGCAAGTCATTGTAATCAAGATAACTGAGTCTAAAGAAAACAAATCCATCCACAGGCTTGATTTGCCTGGCTCAACAGGTCCAGAGGTGTGTGTGGGGGAGCTGTCTCTCTTGCGCCCCCGCTAGCTACGGCTCTGTATATCTGTTGACGGAAGACTAATTCCACGAAAAGAGATGCTTTTTGAAAGAGCCGAAAAAGGCATCTGCTCTTGCAGGCTTAGATACGTGTGGAGAGGGCCTAATGTTTTTAATGTCTTTAATCTTTTCCCCCTGGTTGAGTGCATCGTCTGCACTCTACATCTACAACTTGAATAAAAGATGATCTGACTAGTCACATCCAAGACCCTCTTTGAAAAGTGTTTCGCTCACCGTAACAGTAAGCATAATTATAAGCCGATCAAGCAAAATTTGTAGCATTCAACGTGATATGCGAACGTTATTTTTCATTTCTCACCTTTCCGCTTGCAACAAAGGAAAAAGGACATTTCGCTTTTAATAAAACAGAACAGTTTTTTTTTGTGTCGGCATAAAAACCTTTCTGATATGCTGTGTACGTAGTCATTGCATCTTATGTTCCGCTAGGAGGAAAGAATAAGCCTTCGTTCGAAAAAACTGCTGAAACTGGAATGCTTTTGAATGCTGGTAAAGACGAAGAAGTGGTTGAGACACTATTACCTATGAAAGCCGCTAAAGAAGAGGTTTTAGTAGATCCTGAAGATGAAACTGACGTTGAAGAGAATACTAATGTCGGCGAAAGCAGAAGTGTCATTACAAGGTATGTGCCGTTTGAATAAAAATTCAATAAAACCTCCGATGACGGCAACGGTAGCGAAAAGTTACTTATCATTAAAATCACATTTGTGTAAAGGCACTAGCGAGGCGTTGCTGAGTCGTTTAACGCTTCGATTTTCGAAACTTGTGATAAAACAAACCCTACAGATAAACTCGTAATCAGAAATAACAAGCTTCAACATTTTACCCAAAAAGAGAAAAAAGAACTAAGATATGCTACACTTGTTAAAAAAAAAAAAAGAAAGTGGCGGTGAAACATTTTTATTCCGGCGCGAGATCAGATACCGTAACGTCTTGCTTTCGATAGTTTCCCATTTTCATTCTTCCACACCAGTGATCGGGGAAATCGACCTTTCCTCTCCGGAGAGCGGCGTATTTAAAAAGTTGGGTGTTAGTGAGTGTCCAATTCTCATATGAGTAATTACATTTGTAGACGGAAGACTGATTCCACAAAAGAAGATTCTTTTTCAAAGAGCCGAAAAAGGCGTCTGCTCTCACAAGCTTGGATGCGTGTGGACGGGGTCTAATGTTTTTAATGTCTTTTATTTTTTGCACGGGTTGCATGCACCGTGTGCACTTTACATCTTCAACAAGAGTTTTGCGTAAGCGGCAAGAAGTCTATATTTTACGCGGCGTTTTGAATTTCCAGCGTGTTCGAAACTTGTTAGGGGTACAATTACCTTATCCTAGGAAATAAACAATGCACGTTGACAACACGAAAAAAATTTACATTGCACTAAATTAACGCGAAGTTTTTAAAAGTTAGGTTTACATGCATTAAATTAACGCGAATTTTTCGATGAGCATCTTACTTCATTCAACACAAATTTGCTGCACTTACAAAATCTCAACATACATATATCTCAAGGTTGGATCGTCCGGGTGAACGTAGTCCTGAACAGCACTGTTGTTGATAGTGACTGACGTTTCGACAATCTGTGCGGTAGTCATCTTCAGAGTCAAAGTGACTTGGATCACGTCAGTTGATGGTATTAGTACTCTGGTTATTGACCTGATTGGTCAATTACGTCGAGATGTTACTGGTCGTCTGTCAGTTAAGCCGTGATTATATTGGCTATGAAGACTAGTAATGTAATTGGTGCGTAATGTGTCGGTTTTCTGTAAATAGTCTTTCCTAGTCTGACGACCACAGACTAGTGTCTTTTGACGTGAAATCAGATAGTTTTTACCGACCGATTACAAGACCAGTCATCGTACAACCCTACCTCTCACAAGAAAAGGCTACAACTATACGGACTTTGACAAGACGAGCGAAACTAGTTTGCGACTCACCTGACAGCCTACAAGACGAGACTGACTACCTAACCAACGTTTTTAGTAAAAACAACTACAACAAGAACTTTGTTAGATGGAACACTCACAGTAACACTGATTCCATAAAGGTGCTTTAAAATAACAATAATGTAAAATAGCGTGCATTGAATTTAAATTGACGTTAGTTATGATACATTAAACAAAAAAACGCGTAAATAAAGTGTATTGTTAATTTCCTAGAATAAGGTACGTTCTTTTCACTATGCTTATTTTTTTTATTTAAAAGATGATCTGACTTGTCACATCGAAGACCTCCTTTGAAAAGTGTTTCGCTCACGGTATAAATATACGTCGCGGACAAGAATCCGACCGAACGTCGCAGTCAAAACTTACTAATTTTTTTTTTTTAGTAGAGGATTGTTTGAAATTCGACAACGACAGACTTTGCTCAACTAAGGGTAGGGTATCCTAATTTTGGAGGATAAAAGCAACTAAGAGTTGATGTTGAATAATATAGTTAACAGGATATTATATTTATATTCTAGTACGACGATTTTTTTGCCTTGAACTCGTCACAAAGAAGAAGACTAACATTGACCCCTGTATTGCGTGAAAAAAAAACCATTATTGTCCACTGAGTTTCTGTCCCCTATCCCCCAAAAAGCTTTGCAAATTATGTTCTTCATTTATTGTAGATTTTACCCGAACATTGAGCTAGTGAAAGCTTTGTTTTGAAAACAACCGACTATCAAAATTTTGGCTCATTGCAGAGAAATAGTGACCAGTGAAGGTACCCGGTTGGCCCTCAAAACAGGGGCTGTCCATCTTATATTCCATCCAAATGCTGCGTCTGAGCCCACGTCAATAGTGGTCTACAGATGGAAATCCAGTGTCTGCTCACCCCCACTACAGGAACACGAGGCCATTGTCAGCAATGTTATTCAACTATCTTCCCATGATGGCCAACGCCCGATTTTCAGTGCCCTGATGACTTTGTCGCTTTCTCACAGTGCACCGGACCTGCGGGGCTACGAAGTGGTGATAAAAAGGCAGATCAACAAGGAGACCAATGAATGGGAAGACGTGAGTGGAACCAAGGACTTACGCTGTCGCCAAGGTATAGAAATGTTCTCTATGTAGTAGATTCATGGCAGCTATAGAGAACCGTTTGGCAGATCCTGTTTCCCTAAGCGTGAGGCGGTGTACGTCATCCGTATTGCTGAAGGGTTTGTTTGGTTTTCTTTTTTTGAGATAGTGTCCATATCAAGTGTTGCAGTTGCGATTGCGCTCTCGATCTGAACCTTGTTTCCAGTCTTGATTCCTATAACGTCAGTCTTTTTTAGAATAAAAAGGAAGTAAAAACAGAGCATAATTATGATAGTTACATTTTACTTTTATTTTTTGTCGGTAACAGACATGGAAGATGAGCGCCCTTCTCACAAGGATATGCCAGACTTTTTGTTCCCCGTTGCTCAAGCTGACATAAATGAGTGCTCAACATATGCAGTGGTTTGCCGTCTCAAATCTTCTCCGCCTTACACCATCACATCTACTGGCGGTTTATTCACTCATCCTGATTATCCAGGCGTGACGTTTACAGTCCCCGAGAATGCTGTTGCACCCGAGTCACCGTTTACCCTGGAGTTAAAGGTTGGTGTGATTAAAAAGGTCCATTTATAAAGAAAGTATTATCGTAAAGGCTTTTTAAAGTGATACGGTTTTTTTAGAAAAATGACGATCTAATAATGACCAGTTTAGAAGGTTTGACTGAAAAATCGTTAACTGAATATTTGTAGCGATCTTTTTGTTACTTAAATTGCGTTAACTTTTTATTTAACTTATTGGGAATCCACGTCAATTTTAAAGCCTAAAGAATACATGAAATTAACTGCTGATGATTACTCTTTTAAATGGTACAGATGCAAGAAGTTCCAAATAAAGAATTTGAAGAGGAGGGTGTATTTCTTGGACCTATTCTGCGAATCAAAAGCTTTGGGCTTGTCCAGTTCTTTAAGCCTGTAACCATTCAGCTGCCAGTTTCTCTTCGAGACCGGCAGGACTTTAATCCAGATCCCACTAAATGCCATGTGAGAGTGTTGTTCCTGAATTGCGAGGAGGAAAAAAAGGAATGGACTGAGCTCACTGATCTGGTGAAACATGCACAGTTTGACGGGCGTTTTGTTAGGATCCAGGTCCAACGATTTTCTGGGTAAAGACGCTAAAAAAATCATTTAGGTATTTAGAATAGATGGACTTTTTTAAAAGCCACTGTTTAACGGATCCAACAATGGTAAGTGTTAGTCCAACTTCATTCAACATCGTTGGACGCAGCATGTTAGATGTGTTTTGTGGTGTTGGATGCTGTTGGATCAAGTCTGAGTTCGCCTGTGCACAGACGTTTTCTCTTCGACAGCGCGCCTGTTTTCTCCTTTCCCACCTCCACCCTAAACCCCTTGCGCTTGAACACAATAAATTCCCCAGCGGTTTTTATTTGTATGTGTAAGCTCGACGATCTACAACCAGAAAATCGATGGTCTGTGTACAGGCTCGGTTTACGTGAGTTAAACCTGTAAACTGGTATGCGATGGACCGTGTCGCAACATGGATTAAACAAAGGCCTTTTTAGTTTCCCATTTTCGAAAAATAATAAGCTCAGAATTTAAACTCCCCATGCGACATATTGGACAGTTTTAAGTTTAGCGTTTTGGATTTGTTTGGAAGCTCAGTTTAATAAGGAGTGGGTGTTTAGGTATTCCGTAAAATGCATCCAGAAAGTTACCAAAAATGAAAGTTTTTCTTTTAAACATTTATTTCTCATTCTCTATCCTACTCAGGATAGATATTACTCAGGTTGTTTCCAGAAAATTAAACCTCAAACAATATTTCCAAGTCTACTCACTCTAGTTGTGGAAAAGAGGTTGACGGCTCATGAACGAAGTGCTTACTGGCTTTTTTTTCAACCAACACGTTAAGATAAGCTCTTACTAGTTTCCCTTTACGTAGCACTCTGCTCAAATTTTATCTGTGCCATTTCAAGGCCCATAGCAACTCCCTTCAATCTGGCTCTCACTCTCTAATTTTTGGTTCTTCCACTAATCAGATATTCCTATCTTCTCGACTGGCGTCGAGAAAACTCCAGTGTTGAAAGACTTGGAATTATTAGTTTCATGACCCGATTGATAAGGAAGCCGCGCAGACCAGCAAGTTTCTTCGCTTACTTTCGTCCGGATATTCCAGACATTTTGCGCCTTATTTGTTGTCATACACAACTTACTCATGCGGTGATACGGGATCTTGAAAATAGAGACGTGATATATGCTGATGGCAGTTCAAAGCAAGATATGATACCAGGAGAGGACAAGGCATTTGTTTTTGTATCGGGGGGAATATGTCCGTTCGATGATGAGGACGTGGATGTTTATCTCAGGCAAGCATTTTTTATAAATACATCACATACCAATTCAAGAACGTGGAGCGCCTGCACAAATTCCGCCCCTCACCCCATCCCTAAGTAGAACCGCTTTGCAATAGGCCACTTCCGAGTTCCAAAAACTCTCACTTTCAAAATGAGGCTAGGTGGACAACCTTTCTTGTGAAAATGAGTTTTATTTGCATGAGAAAGAAAACTGATTTCCATATCAAAGGCGGAGCACCTACCCTCGTTTTGAAACAGAAGCCCGGGGGAACTCGGAAATGGCCTATTGAATAGTCATGCGAATCGGGTGTTTTAAAATGCTTAAAAGCATCCTTTTGACTTTGGCAGCACTTCTTTGAGGGTTTTCTTTTTTAATACCACGTGTAACGTATGGGTGATTCACGCGCTGGTGCAATATTACACATAAAGACGATGTTTCTCAGTTTTTAACGACGTAACTGTAGGACGCCAGTAGGGAGTAAAAATGTTTGCAGCCTGTTTTTTACCTATGTAGTTAATTCCGAATTCATCCCAGCAAGGAAAGGAAAAAATGCAAGTTGAATAAGTAAGGCCTTTGTCTTTTTTTTTATTAAGCTTACCGTACTGATCGAACCGTTATTACAGCATGGATATTTTTGTTTTACATTTGAACAGGTTATTAGAAGACAATCTTGAGTTCAAGACTGAATTGCGAATTCGTGTCGTTAAAGACGAAGACCTAGCAGAAGTAGAGTTCCATAACACCTTGACACCTACAGGAAGAACGAGTCTATTGTGTAAATTTCACTTGCCCATCCAGAACATTCCACGCGCGGTTTGTATTACTACTATCGGCTAAAGGCCTATTTACATGGAGGTGGGGGACCCCACGTAGTTGAGATAACCGGCTTTGGTGGGGTAACCCGCCTGTCCATATAATCTCTCATTTAGTTTGATAACGTTTACATGATAGGTGGGGTGACCCACCACATGTTACCTCACCTATTTGGGGTCTCCCACCTCCATGTAAACAGGCCCTAAAACATTTTATAGACATTAGCCTTCTGTAGAGTGGAGATGGCGATGACGATGACGATAGTGATGATGATGATGATGATTTATTGCAGTATATCCAAAGGGCAGCTCTACATCTGCCATAATAACTAGAAAACTATTAAAAAACATAATCCTACAAAATAATGTAAATACTGTAGATACTAACATACGATAAATGATATGAAAAATGCCTTAGAAAAAGAAGAAAATAGTGGTAGGTTGAGGCTTATCCTAGGAGTAGGCTAGCACTTCTATTTACTTAGAGCTCTAATGCACTCCTTTTGAAAGTGTTTAAGTCTTGTAGAATATTAGCCTATCCAAGCAACGAAATAGTTAACTCAAATTGTAGTGGTCGTTGTAAATCTTGAAATCTTGAAATCGTGCCACTTGCCTCCTGCCGCGTGAATGTTCCAGGATTTGTGCCAGTCTAGGCATTTTCCAAGTCACTTGTAAACAGCTCCTGCTAAACTTTGTTCCTTTTTTGGAAATTCCCCCTAATATCCTTTCCAGGTTCTCTCTTCGTCCACGAAATGCCTGAAAGTCTCGAAGAATTAGGAATTGGGGCAAAGGAATCCGAGTGCCCTCATAATTGAGCAAAGACGTGGAAGAGCGTTTTGTTGTTAAATCTCAACGCACCAGAATATGCCATATTCGAGATCAAGAAAGCTTGTTTTGTCAGTCTTATGAGTCAGTGAGTTATTGTACTTGTAATTTGTTTACCCGCGGAGCACTTAGGTGCGTTCCTGATCGAATTGGAATTCGGAAGTGTTAGTTTTTAAGGTGCGAGGAAAACCGGAGTACCCTCTCGGAGCAAGGGAAAGAACTGACCAACAACAGACTCAACCCGGTCATGGAGAGGACCAACATTGAACTGATTATGAGTTAGGGTCAGGGTTAGGGTTAGGGTTTGAGTTAGGGGTAGGGTGAAGTGACTACGCTGAACATATTTAGTTAACGCGTATACCGTATGTCTTAGCATTACTAGTTGGTTTGCTATGTAAAACCTCCTAGATTCTCGTGATAATAGAATCTTTTGACCCTGATTGGTAATCCAGGTGCATGTACGCTAAAATTTTCTACCTTTCATGCCTTTTCAGGCACGTCACGGTTCGATGGAGCATGTGCAAGAACCTGGTAAGTTTTTGTTCTTTATTTCCACTTATGTCCTTTAATAAATTTCATTTCGAGAAGGCATTGTCCATCCTCAATAACCAGCGTTTATAATGTCGGCGTGTCTTAGCTTCAAAAACCTCTGTCGTCTAACGCAGACGGATAGAACGTGCATGTTGAACGATCCAAACTCATTCAGACGAACTTAACTGAGCCAGACGTCAAACTTTTCATGAACTTAACTCACTAAGTTTGGTTCATCTCATGAAAATTTCACCAACCGTGAAGGAGGCTTGAAATGCACGTATCCCAACAGCCATAGCGCTACAAAAAGAAAACACACACACATCCACTGGTTGTGTGTACAGCCAATCATTACCATGTACTGTCTGATAAAGAGCAAATGTAGAACGTCGAAAAGCAGTAGGTTTGATAAGAAAAAAACAACAGTGACTTCTGTTGAACTGCGGGGTGAAGAAATAACTGACCTTTCGAGAAGGTCATTACAATTTAATACGCAACTTAAATAGTTGGGAAAAGAAAGGCTAGAAAAAAACACAGGCTTGCCGGGATTCAAATCCTGACCCTGCCTTTCCCCCTCCCCCCCCCCTTCATAGTTTTCTTTTTCGTCCTCGGTTCAGCTTTCGGGCGGCTGAATCTCTTACTTTTCCAACCCCAGGAAAAAAATACCGCTAGCTACGCAGGCTAAGGAACCTCTTATTTTATAAATTTGTAACCCCCCCCCCCTTCGTTTAACCATTCATTAAATTTGTTCTGGATGTCTCATACATGTTCATACTTTATTCCGTTGGTCTGAAGATGGAGGATCCATCACTTAGTATCTCAATCGACTATTTTCAGTCATCTCCGTCGCGAATTTTAAATAGAATTTTTCCTTTCACAGAAATCAAAGAGGGCAGTCCAACACCGGATGAACTGGAGGGTCTGTCAGAAAAAATCAGTGACAAGTGGAAAAAGCTTGGTCGTCGACTACAGTTCGATCAAGCACAAATAACAGAACACGACAAAAGCAATGAGAAACTTTCTGAAAAAGCATACAATTTGCTGATGGCTTGGAAAGGAAGGGACGCCTCAGCTGCAACTTACCGGGTTTTACACAAAGCACTGTCTGACGTAGAACGTAGTGATTTAGCACAAGAATTTTGTTGTCAGTGAAAAACTAAAGGTATTTTACCATTTTCTTTGCATTATAGAACTACTGCAGCCGGATATTGAAAAGTTAAAAGAGACCTGTTGAAAGGTTGCAATGGTTCATGCCCTTGGATGCCTTGACCTGGAATTTCATCGAGTTGAACGTTTCATCTACTCTCATTTCGTGCAATGTGGTCTATTACTAAAATTTTTATTTAGCGAAAGCGAGAAAGATAGTTTGATCGCAAGTTAGATAAATAGCTTTATTTTTCGTATGTACTTCTCACATGCTAACTTAAAAGCCATTTCTTAAACTGTGATAAGAGGTCTTAGCCAATAAGATATGTTTCTAATGTAAAAGAAAAATCAGCCAATCCAATTAAAGGTTGATTGGATGGGTTTCTTGGCACTTTTTGTCCGCCTTGTTCATGTCTTCAGCTTTCCCGCCCCAGTCGTCCCATAAGGGTCGGTTTCTATCTGTAAAGTTTTTATCTGTATCGAAAATTCCGCTCAGTCACAAAGCCTGCTTGTTGGTTTTCTGATATGACTGAACCAACTCATTTTCAAGTCGTGCATTGAAAATTAAAAAAGTCTGTTTCAGCCCCAAAGTACCAATTTAGCCCTGCAGGGTAACGTCTAATTCAGCCTCCACTGAGCCATTTGAGCACAATTTAAGCCAAGAGAGCTCAATCAAAAGCCTATTCAAGCCCTAGCTAATTGGACTGAATTGGCCTTGATAGGGGGGATCGACTATTTACCAAGTTAAGAGTTGAGTTGAGTTTGAGTTGAGTTTGAGTTAAGTTTGAGTTAAGTTGTAGTTACCGTTTTTACTTAAAATGTCGTTAATACTATCCACACGACATAAAATGTGCGGATTATTTATATAAAAATTATTATTTTTGAGGTGGTATTTTAGTTTTTAATACCCGATCGAGTTGGGTCAACCAAATCTGCGAGCCACGCGAGCCACGGTGCGAGTCATGCGAGCCATGCCTGTGAGCCATTTTTGAGTAATTCCGTTTTTCTTAAATTGGTCGGGGAGGTCGTCGATTATTCCACCAGCAAACATCCCTGGAGTTTTACCTGCGACTTGCCTAGCCGCCATCTTGTAAACGGAGTTACCTCGCTCCCAGGTTCCTCTCTCTCTGGCGCGACGCGAAGCAGTGTTCCTCGTGATGGCTCAATTTCGGCTCAATACGGAGATCCAACTAGCCGTCAATATAGTGCAGTATTGCCGTCTCAAAACAAAAATTCTTGCTATACGCGTTATCAGGTTTTTGTTTTGCAAAAAAGTTTCGAAAAACCCGACTTTTCACGCCATAAATTACTCATTGAAACATAAAAAATTCGAAAGAACATCTTTCTGAAGTTTTTCAAAGAAACATGCGTCGAACAAAATGAGTAAATAACGCAAGTTTGCCAAGTTTTTAGCGAAAACTTTTTTTCAAAATTATGATGGCGTGATTAGCCCGCGCATAGCTCAGCTCGATGTAAACAAACCGTTCAAACCAACAAAAAGAGATTTAGAACTTATCGTATCGTTCACTTTTGATAGAAAGGATCGCTTCATTGAATACAGTGTTGCTTTGTCTACCAAACTTGACAAAGTAATCAACATTTTAGTCCTTACTTTGAATATTTTTTGAAGTTTTTTGTTTTCTACGGGAGGAACCCATTAAATTGCCGCGGGAATTTTTCAACCAATCACAGACTGACTTTAAGTTGAAGTCATCATTTTTTATTCTGAGAGAATGAAACATACAGCTCCACCGCTCCGCTACTCGAAGGGGTATCCAATGACAGCTGTCACACGGAAAAAGGAGTGCGTGACAAGCCCAAAAAACATTTGAAGGCAGGCGCCTGTCTCTTTCAGGTCGTGGGGGAAAGGTTCCGCTCTTCAGTATGCATTTATGAAAAGAGTATGCACGAAGTGCGACGGCTGATACCGAAAATGCGCGAAATACTCACGAAGAGGCCCCGAATGTTTCTGCATCAATAATGGCATGTGCAAAACGCTGTCTGGTAAAATACACTGTTTTGCAACGCATTGTTGTTTTTGCATGAAGTGTTGACAAAAGTCCGTGGATTAAAATTAGCAAAATTACCATATACTTTTGCATTCGTGTTTCCTCGGAAAGCCTTCGGAGCGTAAAAACAAGCACTTTTGTGTTCAAGAATTCAGACTGAACATTATGAAAGTGATCTACCGTATTTTGATTTTTCTGTAAATAATTTTAAAAAAACTGTTGACCATGTCATTGTGAAAACATAAGCTTACCGCAATATTGCGTACGTTAGCATTTCTTATTCACGGGCTGGCTCTTATGCCAGTATTTATTTACAAGAATTTAACCGAGATATCGCAATTTTTTTTGTCTCCAGTGAGTTCAGGTTAATTTACATACGCAGCGACTAAAGCGATACTTTAACCTTTGATTCGAAACGTACGTTGTTACGCATATATATCTGCCTCTCAAACGGGGAGGTTGAATGGAATTGTCATTAATTCTATTATTCTTTAAGTTAATGACAGAAAAGAAA